CGGAGAGGTATCTCTGGGCCCTCTCGGTAATGCACATCACTATAAGCCTTGCAAGCAATGTAGCTAATGAGTTAGTTACGGAATGATGCATTACGTAACGAGTAAAGAGACTTGCCGGTAACGAGATTGAACTAGGTATTGGATACCGACGATCGAATCTCGGGCAAGTAACATACCGATGACAAAGGGAACAACGTATGTTGTTATGCAGTTTGACCGATAAAGATCTTTGTAGAATATGTGGGAGCCAATATGAGCATCCAGGTTCCGCTATTGGTTATTGACCGGAGACGTGTCTCGGTCATGTCTACATTGTTCTCGAACCCGTAGGGTCCGCACGCTTAAGGTTTCGATGACAGTTATATTATGAGTTTATGAGTTTTGATGTACCGAAGGAGTTCGGAGTCCCGGATGAGATCGGGGACATGACGAGGAGTCTCGAAATGGTCGAGACGTAAAGATCGATATATTGGACGACTATATTCGGAGTTCGGAAAGGTTCCGAGTGATTCGGGTATTTTTCGGAGTACCGGAGAGTTACGGGAATTCGCCGGGGAGTATATGTGCCTTATTAGGCCATACGGGAATAGAGGAGAGAGGCCAAAAGGAAGGAGGCCTGCGCCCCCCCCTCTGGTCCGAATTGGACAAGGGGGGCAGCCCACTTTTCCTTCTCCCTCTCCTCCTTTTTCCTTCTCCAACAAGGAAAGGAGGAGTCCTACTCCCGGTGGGAGTAGGACTCCCCCCTTGGTGCGCCTCCTCCATAGGCCGGCCACCTCCCCCCTTGCTCCTATATATATGGGGGCAGGGGGGCACCCCAAAGACACAACAACAATTGATCTTTGAGATCTATTAGCCGTGTGCGGTGCCCCCCTCCACCATAGTCCTCCTCGATAATATTGTAGCGGTGCTTAGGCGAAGCCCTGCGACAGTAGAACATCAAGATCGTCACCACGCCATCGTGCTGACGGAACTCTCCCTCGACACTCGGCTGGATCGGAGTTCGAGGGACGTCATCGAGCTGAACATGTGCTAGAACTCGGAGGTGCCGTAGTTTCGGTGCTTGATCGGTCAGGCCGTGAAGACGTACGACTACATCAACCGCGTTGTCATAACGCTTCCGCTTTCGGTCTACAAGGGTATGTAGATTACACTCTCCCCTCTCGTTGCTATGCATCACCATGATCTTGCGTGTGCGTATGAAATTTTTGAAATTACTACGTTCCCCAACACATACGACTAACTTCAAGCCTGCAGTGACTATGTGGTCAGACAAACATGTGGCATGGGGATGGTAAGCTACTCGACCATGGAGAATGAGTTGTTGTGTGATGCGTGGTTGGCTGTATCCGTGGATTTCATAGGCAGGACCATAGGGCCGCCCTTCTTTGAGCAAGTGCATGAAAAGTTTCACGCAGGAAAGCACATTGTGCCCTACATGTGTACATCATGCGACCACACAACATGAAACCATTGTTGTATCGCTGGCACGCTATCCAGGTCAGGGTCATCAAGTTCTGCAACTTGGTTAGTCAACTCGAGGCAAGGTGGTCATTGCACGCAGGCATAGAGGAGATGGTAAGTTTTAATTCCTCTTGCTAAACTTGTTGATTGATTCATTCACTTAATGTTGGTCTACACATTATATGTAGCCCGCACGCATCGCTGTGTTGTACCACAAGGCAGAGGGATGGCCATTTACATGCACACACTGCTGGATGAAGCTGAAGGGAGGTATGTGTGGGAGGACATGATTTGTTCCTTAGAAACTTGGACATCCGGGGTCTAGTCAAATTTGGGACCTTGTTGTATAGACTTAATTTGCATGCTATGTGTGGATGGTTTGTGTTATTTTCTATCTAAACTTTGATGAATATCGGCCAGGTTTGCATGAATTTCGTCCGATTAGTTAAAATGCAGTTTGAAATGTATGCAGCTAGCATTGGATGGCTACCTCCCCCATCCATGTCCACGGACTAGCTCCCCCTGTTTGCGGACGGGTGTGGGAGATTTTTTATGGGTTGCTGTTGGAGATGCCCTTAGGAGTACATATGGTTTGTATCATCCTATCCGGGATGAATCCCTAGTTCCCTACCCTTCAATTTCCCTACACCACGCTTAATTAATACTACGGCTTTCTTAGACACAAAGCTAGAGAAATATAAACAATGAAATTATAAAACACTGTCTATTTTTATCCCTTTTCTTGTTTTGTCTTTGGTGGGGAGCCTGGAACCAACTTTATTCCATTTTCATGGAACTAAAGAGAAGTTTTATATACTCATGATAATACAATAAATCCTTGGCCATTGGCACTAAAATCACCATTTTTTTAGAGAAGGAGGTTAACCCCAGCTTCTGCATCAATTGAAGCATGCAACCATTTTTATTAATTATTCCATAAAGGGCTGACAAGAACATACATCAATCCACCCGAAGCCACCACTCACACCTACAGACTCGATAATGTGGAGTGCTCTCACTCCACATATCTAAAACCGGTGTCGTCACTGGTCCATCCACATAACGTATCAGGACCAACGTCTGGTGCAGCCTACCTAAAGCACACACCACATGCACACATTTTAGGAGCCGCCATCATCATCGGACCACTGATCCATCTTTAGGAGAGAGATCCGCATCATCCCTGCCAATCCGGATATCCGTTGACGCCACCACAGCGCCACCGCCCTGCGCTCGTCCGTCCAGACGCGAAGACTCTGGAAGATCTGTCATGCGTAGCACCTACCAACCAGGCATGACTCAGCATAGCACCTATCGCCCAGGCATGACTTGACAGCTCCACCGAAGCTCCGTGCAAGAGGAAGCCGCTCCACCTCCTGCCTCTGTCTTCTAGCGCTGATCCACAAATGATGCTCCCAAGAGAGAAACGGCAACGTAGTACCGCCATCATCCAATCTAGAAAATCAGATCCTAGGGATTCCTCCGAAGCAGCACGAGTGGGTCGACAACAGTTACATGACGATGCCTTCATCAAGATAACGGCACAAAACGCCGCCATCGCCAACCAACAG